CTGGAACAGGTAGATTAAAGCCAGAAGCAACTACATCGACACTCTTATTATGGCCTTTAGAAGTTAAACAGAGAATGATTGATCGTGGTGAAACAACTGCATCTGATCCAAATGAAATAGATCATGCTTCTTGTTTGAATTATGTTCAGAGAGTACTACAAAAATTTCGAAACCAAACTGAACATTATCAAGCTCAATTGAAAGAAAGAAAAAAACGTTTAAACAATTGTTGGACATGTGAAATCGGAGAAGATACTACTAAATTTGTTCAACAACATGTCACACCTATATATAAAGTACCTACAGAAGAACAAATTGCTATCGTTCAATATGATTATAATGATCGATTGATTCAATTAGAATATTATCAACAAAATCCAAATGAATATCAAAAACAAATATTTGAAAATCTTACTCAAGCCAAATATGAAAAAGAAACAGCTAAATTTGATGTAGCTATATTAAAACAACGTATTGTTTATAATCATTTACCAACATCATTTCATACACTTCAAATACCTGTGCCCATATCATTAGATACAATTATCGATACGATGACTCGTCAACGTTTAAAGGATCGATGTGAGAAAATTTTACAACGGACGAAATCTGAAATGATGATGATTTATATTGCAACAGCCGAAGCAAAAATGAATGAATATCAAAAGAAATTCGATAGTGACTTGGCTAAAATGAAAGAAAATCAATGTTCTGACTCATCACATAAAAAATTAACTCAAACAATATTAAATATTATGGAACGACGTTTTAAGAATATTAATGAACGTCTTATATATCTTTGCAAATTAAAACTAAGTTTTTTCGTCAAAGCTCTGACGGTCATGAATTAGATTGGATCGATCGTCGGAGCATTTCTATCCAAAAATCGAATATCACTTGTTCACCATCAATCATTCAAGACACATCACATCATCTATCAGAGGAACAAGTTACATTTCTTAATCGTGGACCCACATATGTTCCACCATGTCAAATACATATTTTATCAAAATCTTCTTTAATACTGGCTCAAATCGTTACGAAACAAATGGTACCACTTCAACGAGAACTCACAAAACTTTTCATCAAATATCCAATCGATCTCACTCGTCAAATGCATTTTGAAAATGGGATTGAACAATTATTCAATGAATCATTTTGTTCAACCTATGCCTTCTGTACTTGAAGAGCGTGCACTCTATGAAAAACAACTCATTCTATCAATTAGATATCAATTAAATAAAGATCAATTGATTCTACGGCGAACCGCTGATGAGATGAATACATATTATCTTGGTCGATTGAATGAATTTAATCAAAAATCGAATGAATATATTCAGAATTCAACTTGTTACGAACTGATTGAAACAATTAATGAAATTAATACAGAACAACAACAATTAGAAGGAATTATTCAATCTATTGATTTACAACTGGAAATATTATATCAAAGAAAATTGATTAAAGAAGATCATTTAATCAGATTAAGTATTGGCAAAAAAACAAATATCAATCTTCCATATCTTTATTTCTTATCAGAAACGAATGAAAATGTTCATATGTCAGTACAACCACGACTATCATCATGTCAGCATTGTCCAATATATACTCTAGCTACTTATCTTAATCAACTTCTTCGACCATTATTTGATAATTTTTCACGATCAACAACATTTCTTAATGGTGGTGATTTTATACAAAAACTACAATATTATTGTATACAACTAGATATTCTTCTACCGAAAACATATTTTGCAACATTTAAAATTCATGATTTATATACGAAGATATCACATTCGGCTCTTCTTGAAGCATTAAATATATTTCTAATGAATCCACTTGTCAATGGTCAACATCAAAAATTGTCAAGTGATGCTATTCAAGAATTAACTGCCACAGTCTTACGAAATAATTTTTTCTCTTACAATGGAAAAATCTACCGATTTATTCAAGGAGGTCCATTAAATTTACCATTAATAGAATTATTATGTCATATTTATATGCATCATTGGCAATATTCATTAGTTACACATATTTGTTTGAAAGATGCATTCTATGGTCGATATAAAGATACAGGTTTTTTAACATGGAATAGTCCGATTGATCAATTGCAAACATTATTCAATAAACTTGAACAAGAACTAGATTCGAATCTTCAAATGACAACATTTATTAGTAGTGATGTTCATTTTCTTCATACTGCTATTGAAAATCGAAAAGGATCTTTACATACTCATGTCCATCATGATTCAACAATTCAACCATTTTTATTACCTTATGAGCATAGTCATCCACGATTATTTCATCGACAATGGTTTCGAGCTGCTCTTATACGTGCTGGTCAATATTGTAGTTCGTTCGAAGATTTTGAAGACGAACGACTTTATATTGAATTAACATTTCTGGCTAATGGGTATTCATTAGATTTTATCAAGTATCATATCAAACGATTCTTGACAAGATTTAATCCAAATGAACAAAAACCAATGAATTTGAACCGATCTACATATCTTTCATTTCGTAATGAATTATTTCGTTGTATCGATCAACAAAAATGTGATCTATTCGAAGAACAACAACTACTAAAGAATCATCAATTAATTCAATTACATTATCTTTTCGATTGGGGTTCAAGATGTCAATTCAATAAAAAGTTTTATCAATATTGGTCTACAATTCTCGAGCAAGATCCAGAGTTTAAAAAATATAGATTAAAAATCAAACTTAATACTAAACATTGTTATTCATCGAATACTCTCTTGGCTCGATCGAATAATACATATCTATGAAGTGAGAGTAGTCAATTTTAAATATTTATTTCTTTATATTTCTATACATTTAGATATTTCTAATGCTTGATTTTTAGTCATCTATTGCAATTTATACATGTCATTTTATTCTTCTTTTTTTTTGTGCATGTGTCTTATTGTTATGTTCTTAGTATAGTTAAACTTTTTTGTCAATAATATATTACTATAAAATTTTAATACATTCTGAACTATCACTCCTATTGTCTTACTCACTTTGAAAAATTCGTTATTATGATCATTAAAGTGATTGTTTTTTTTGTTGTTGTATTTCTTCTAGTTGCTTTTTTCTTTAGATAGTATGAGAAAAATGTTGTTTTCTATCTCATATATTCATTATGTTTCTTACTTTATATAGTAATGTACTAGAAATTGTTCGCTCTACATATTTTGTATTAGTTTAGCGAGACTAGAAAACATACTTAAGTTTCACATCTCAGCTTCATTGAGGCTTCGCTAATAAGTTTTTTGATTTCTAGATAGAAATATTTATTGATAATATAGACTGTAATAAAGATTCAATCAAAATGTTAGGTTCAAATGCTCAAGCTGGTTGGTATGAACCAGTTTCACAAATACATGTACTCATTGAACAAAAGCAAAACTTCGAGACCAACAAGAAGGAACTAAAGAAGAAGAAAAAATCCCGTGGTAATCGGCGACTCCAACGCTATAGAAGGGAATTTCGAGCACGAGGAATGAACGATCACACCGTAAAAATGTTATTGACAATGCATCAAATCAATAATTCCATTCATCAAACTCATCGGGAAATAGACCACGATAAAATAATGGATGATTTTTTAGTCAGGAATGCTAATAAGGATATTCAAGTGTCCATGTTCTATGGAAACGAAGTACGATCAAATGATAGACAAAAAACAAATGCGATGTTTTTCTTTTGTATAGAACCAAGGCAATAATTCATCACGTATAAGAACACATCAAAAAACGAACAAACATTACGATTTACCTACAGATGATTGGAAACTGACATGCA